AGAGTTGTTGGCACCACCATCGCGACTGGGAGTTGTCACTGAATCCCCCAGCAGTATCTCAGCTCTGGTCTGTTCCAGGCAGCAGATGGGAAATGGCACCAGGAGCAAATGAACTGTTCAGAAACACTCACCTGGGTTCACTGCCTGTTGCACCTGAAGCAAAGAGGTGCATAAATGGCACTGACAGGACAGCATCACCCCTCCCAGAGCTAGATAAGGAAGGGAGAAGCTCTGCAGCTCCACAGCCGAGGCCTTGCAATGAAGTGGTCATGCAGAACACCACGGAACCATGGAATGGTTTGTGTTGGAAGGGACTTCCAACCCCCTGCCATGGGCAGGGACACCTTCCACTAGAGCAGGTTGCTCCAAGCCTTGCCCAACCTGGCCCTAACACTGCCAGGGATGGGGCAGCCACAGCAAACCAAGGACAGCCTCACCCTCATGTGCTCCACCATTGCTGTCAGGAGCAGAGAGGCTTTTTCTCCTCTCGCCTACCCCAGTCAAAGTGTTTGTCATGGCTTTGCAAGAGGAAGGATGCACACAGGAGCAGGAGGTGCCTCCTCAGCCATCCATATGGGCTCGCTTCAGATCTTCCTCTTGGGCTTGAAGGTGAGAAGCAACAAAGCTGAAGTGACTGCACAGTGGTTAAAGCACTGCTTCGGATGTGATCCGTGAAAGCAAGAATAAAGGGAATTATCCAAACCCACCTGAGGAGCAGCTCTGAGGAGGACGCATGAATGGAAGTCCTGCGAGGAGCAGCTCTGAGGAGGAACAAGAGGGAAAATTACATTTGCAAGCAAAATGTACCAGGAGAAACTCAGTTTGTCCTTTCCTGGCCCCAGCAAACCCCAAGCTGGGAGCCTTTCGGGAGCAGCTACAGAACACAACCAGAACCAAGGCCCATTACCGCTGGTGCTTTGGGCCAGAGGGTACACAACACACGCAGCATCACGCTGATCCCATCTCCAAGCAGCAAACAAAAGGAAGAAGACACGGAGTATTTATGGCAACACAGATTTAATTTCTGAGGCAGTTATAAAATTACAAAGAGCGATGGGCAGCGGTGGGAGGCAGACACTTGGTGAGGTGGAATGTTAGATATTCCCACTTATCAACACAGATACCCAACAGAGAAAGTCAGCACTGCAGGATGCAGGGGGGGGCTTTTCCCAGCTAAGGAAGCAAACGCAAGGGCAAATAGGTCCAGGTAGACAAAGGGTTTAGTCAACACCCCATAGGAACCCAGAGCTGCAGGTGTGGGAAGCGCTCCTGAGAAGTGAGTTGGATACATGCAACAGTGCAGGGGGAGTGAGGGTGCAGATCGCTGCAGCCACATGGTCAAAGCCACAGCACTGAGACACCTGTAACGGGCACAACTGCAGCTATTTGCAAGCCAGAAGAGAAACCTCTTGTCCATTACTCCCAAGGCAGTGTAAGGTGAGATGGGGCAACTGGAAAAGCGTTAAAATGAAGGCATGGCATGGTTAGAAAAATAGGAATCTGCTGAATCCCTTTGGTTGTGCAACTGGAATCTGAAAGGACTTATTGACAGTCAGAGCCACGCTCTCTCCATTGCAAGCCTTTCAGGGTGCAGCACTGATTGCAGGGAGAGAAAGCCCTGTTCTGCACGTGTGGAGAAGACACTGCCTTGCTCCCAGATGGTAACAGGTTAAACCTGTCAGCCAGCACAGCTGGAGCACAGAATCAAACCTTCCAAACCTCTGCAGTGATTGCAGCCTGCCAATGCCTTAGACAAAGGCTCATTTCGCTCTGCAAACAGGAGTGGAGCATCTGCACACACCAGGGGTTTACTGAATAGCTCAGCAGCCTACAAGGGAAGAAATTCGACCCTCTTGCTGCATGCTGCTTTGGTGCCAATACTGTCATTAGAGCCAAGGAAGCACAGAATGGGATGTAACATAGAGAGCTCTTTGCTGAGCAGCTTCCCCAGGCTCTGTGCTAACCCACGCACTGAGCTGGTGGCTCTCCCTGCATTCCTCCCTTGTTACTATTACACATAGGTCATGGAGGAGTTTCCCCTGTCTCTGTATTAGGAGTCTTGTCAGGTATGTGTCTGCATTCAGGCAGCCTTGCAAAGCCACCACCTCCATCCCCACCCTCTGCAGAGGCCCAAGACGCTCGCTCGCATAGGACCTGGAGCAAGAAGGTACATGCACGCATCCGATCCCAGAGGGAGCACTCACACAAATGAACAGGGCCTCAGAAGGAACAGCTTTTACCAACCTCTTCATGCTTTCTACTTCCTCCTCCTGTGCCAAGCCCAGCCTTTTAGCTGCTAGATTTGTATCTATCACTTGTGTTTTGGAAACAGGGACATAAGAGACCAGAGATAAAGAGATTTCTGCCTCACAACTTGAAATAGAGTAAACACACGGATGCTGAGACAGGAGCCAGGTATGTTTGCTCACTACCTATTTGCACATCAAGAAGAGCAGCTCCTTCTCTATAGTACTCACTGGGAACACATCCCACTGCAAACCTGAGTTTAGGATTCCACGTTTATAAGTGTTCCCCCCTCCCCAGCTTTGGTTGTGTCAGTTGCCCATCTCTGTCCCCAACCCTCTACCCAGTTAAAAAGCTATCAAGTACAGCCTGTATCACTGCTGTACAGTCACAGAACAAACACTGTCCTTCCAAGGAAGGTCAGTCTAAAATGAGAGTGGCTGTAAAGGTGTTCCCATATCGTATGACTGGAAGCCCATGGCCACAGGGCTAGAGCCTCCTTGGCTCACCCTGGGGAATCCAGGGCTGTCAGACCAGCAGAACATAAGCGTTCAGATGCCACCTGATCCACAGAGTGTAACAGTGCACTCGTGTGCTGCATGCTCAGGTGAGGATGCAGCTGCAAACAGCATTGCTGGTATGTTTAAATAAAAGACATTAAAAGCTTTGTGTTATTTGGACGAAACCCCAACCTGAGAGGCTTCTAACTTTGGTAGTGTACCACAACACGGTGGTGACTGAGGGCCTCAGGCCTTCAGAGGGAACTGTATTAGTCATGCTTCATCTGAGACAAAGTTTACATCCTCATGCAATGAACTTAAGACAAGCTACTGTCACCACTGTTAAATACACTGCCAGAGGGGACCAGAAACTACCTATTCCACCCCATTAGCTCCATGCTGCTCACTAACCCCAGAGTATCAATACTTCTGCTCTCTGCAGGGCACACAGTTCAACAGCCAGTGCATGGCCCAGGAGCACACAAGAGCACATGGGAGGCACATAAACAATGAATACAGGATCTCCAACTCACCTGTGGAAGGGAAGGTGTGAAAGTTAGGAAGGGGGTAACGTTAGTATGATACATGACCTCAAGTTTTAGCAGTGAAAGCAATTACATTAAGGGGTATATCTTACTATGTAAGACAGCCTTTGTTAACACACAAGAGATACACAACTTGAGTGCTTAGCAGACCTGTGCTTATGTGTGTTTACTGCTAACTCTAACTTGTGGAGTCTGTGCCAAGCCTCCAAGTTATGTTATCAGGAATGTTACCAGCTTAAGCCTGGAACCAGCAGACATCTGACAGCTCCTGGGTGGTTCTGTTTGCCAGCCAAGCTCATCCAGCTTGTATTTACTTGAAGACTTGTAGTTTACTCTGCAGCCACAGCAAAGCTGATAGCACTTGCAGTAAAAAAACCCCAACATAATAATTCCAGCCCGTGGAATTTACTTTTCAGCCAGAGCTTAAAGTCAAGACTAAACAAGATTTCAGCATGGCTCAGTGGTTTGCTTTGGATGCCTTTGCTTTTGCAGAGGACACCACAACCCACTCCAGCCAACTGCTTAGGCCAGTCAAGGGTTTTCAGCAGCTGAACAAGCCTGATCCCTTCTCTCCCACATGGGCTCATGTTAAAGCATCTTCCACTTACACAGACTAACAACAGCCTCACTGATGCAGGCAGCTACCACAGATGGGAAAGCACACCTACCTACAAAGGGCTTTGGGGACAAAGAACACTCTTTGAGAGAAGACATGTTAACAGTCCCAAATCCTAAAAGCACATCCCTCTCTAGTTATGGTAAGGAGTTCACACGTAGCTGAAGCACTCAGCTTCTGCCCTCCTCTCAAGAGCTGCAGTTTCCTTCTCTGGTTTGATTTCTTTGCAAGCAGTCAGCAGAGGGGAAGGAAAGAACCCACAATGCTCCACAAAAGGCAAAAGCAGGCTCATTTTGGCAAAGGAAAGTAACACTCACTGAGTACTTTGCTAATCACTTGCCCACTGTTATCCAAGACTTATGAAAAGGCACATTACAACCCTAAAAACAGTCTGCACTACTGCTCAGCCTTGGGAAGCCCTGGCCAGGGTCAGGGCAGTTAAGGATTTAGTCCAGAAGTGCCAAAGAGACAACCAGGCCTTGGAGTGTATCATAAGAGGTGCACTGATGAAAGGGGAGGAGAAAAACCCAACAAAACACCAACCAAAACCCCTGTTATCCAGCAGAAGGAAATTAATCTTCCAAAATCATTTATATTTACATCAGTATCTGGCAAAAATAATCATGAACCTTCACTATTAGAGCAGTACCCTCAGCCTCAGACTGAAGAGAAGCAAGAATTGAGAGTGATGCCTTCGAGCTGAAACATTAAGGCTGTTCATAGAGTAGGCCTACCATACTCCACAGGGGCTTCCCCCCAGCCTGAGAGAATCCTTGCTTTGGAAAAGGTAGAAAAGTATAAAAACCCCAAGGTTATTGCTACTCCACCAAGGAAATAAGACAACCTATAGGAGAGAAAGAAAGTAACAAACCCTCCCTAAAGAACACCCCCACTAGCTTATCAGCCAGTATGGGCTACAGACACCAAAGCACCAGAGGTGTACAAACAAGAGTCTCTAGCAATTCCTCCTTCATTCTAGCCTTCTCCCTGCATCAACTACTTCTCTTCCCTGGAAAGGCACTTTCTATATTCTACATGCTTATGCAGGGAAACACTTCCAGTTTTCCATTGCAACAAACAGAACAGTCCCACAAATACACAACATTCAGAAGGAATTTTAATTAACAAAGTGGTCCAGGAAAGGGAAGGGAGAATCCCCCAAAACAGGCCATTGCATTTGAAAGGTTGCATGTCAGTCACTAGGTATGCCTGCAAGCCCATGCACAGGAAACCATTTGGACCTTTGTCAGTGCAGAACTGAGTCTCAGCTTCCAGAACCACTTCTCTGCTCCTTCCTTATATAAGCTAAATATTATATACATATATAAAAAAAATACAAACTTGAGTTTGTTATAAAGTGGCTTCTCTCTCTCCCCCTCCTATGCTTGCTTGGCACATGAACGCATGCAAAGCTAGTAGGCTCTGAGGGCTGCACAGACAGCAGGTTTTGGCAACAAAAAAAATAAACACAGCTAAAATAGATAAGCAAGATTAAAAGCCACTGAATTGAAAACCATATATTTTTCCAATTGTATAGAATTAGAACTACAGCTACGACTTAGAACAGTAAGAGTCTGTCATCCTCTCTCCCAGCTCATGTCAAAGTTCATAGCAGCATAACACGAGATTCCTCAAGAAACATCAAGCCAGTGTTCTCTGCTTCAGGAGTGAGTTCACAGGTCCAGGTTTAGTCTGTCCGAAGGATCATGGGGGGATGCTCACTGTCTTCATCCAATCTAAGCGAGTTGGTGTCATCTTCCAGGCAAGCTCCACCCACAGCACCCAGGTCATCTGTATAGGCTGCAGGCAAAGGAACAAGTTGGGGGAATCAGCAGCACAGACTAAGGCTTGGAGCCAAAGTGAACCATTAGAGTTGAAGTACCAGACATGACTTTTAACAGTCTGACTGCTGCCCTATGTTTGCTTTTATCATGACTGTGCTTTTCCCAAGCCAAAACTGGTTCATGATCAAAATTAAACTACCCTGTATGTGTGCAACATGTTTTTCCTTACTCTCCACTCACACATTACAGCTGCAACTGCAACTAACCTGAGTGCCATACAAAGATGGTAAAAGCTCCACTGACTTGGAGAGCTGCAGTATTAAAGTTCTCACCCTCTTGTTTTAACAAAGCAGCAAATTAGGCTAAAGGGTCACTGCTCCCATAAAGGAACAACAGGAACACTTAATCTTTTCAAATAAAGAAAAAAGGGGAAGGGGTCTATAATTCAGATGCTTTGCACAATGTCTGGGTGCAAAACTCCCATATGAAATAATCATGTTGGGGCATCTCAAGAACTATTTGGCAAGTACTGCGACTATCACTACAGTAATCAACCACAGTCCAAACCAAAGTTCTACCCAGGAAGTAGTAAAGCTGACTGATCCATCTATAAGGAGCTACTGTACATCACGAGTGCTCTTTTCCTACTGCTCACCAATGCTCCCCATCAGACACAGTTATGATGTGTTGAAGTAGACGAGCTCAGGCAGCCATCTAGAATGAAGCAATACACAGAGATGCTCGCTGCCCCATTTCAAGCCTTCTCCTTACCATGCCTTGTGGGTGAGGAAGGCACATATGTACCTTTAGTCACAGCGGCACTGTAGGGCTGTGCTACCAGCGGCCGGTCGTGGGATGCAGACTCTAGGATTTCGTTGGCTGGCTCCATGCTGCCATCAAGCCTACCAAGCAAAGAGAGGTTAACTGCAGAGGTGACCTGCTAGGGCATGATACTGCTTTAGTTGACAGCTACATAAGAATCTCTCATTAGACGTGCAAAAATACCCACGTCTACACATGCAACAGGAGAAACCTGGTCTCTCCATTCCACAGGCCTGTCAAGAAGGCATCTGACAACACTTCATATTTAACACTGACATGCTTGCCTCTGACACAGCATCAGGATCTGAATCCTAGTAGCTGATGGTAAGGGTCAAAAAAGATCAGAGCTATAGGGTGTGATTAGAATAAAACAGCCCCTGTTCCAATCAGCAATGTTATAGATTGTCACTTGATCTCTGTCCACAGAGGTGGCTGATTCATACACATACACTAGAAAACCCTCTAATGAAGGTATTAGAGCATTGCACACATTAACTCGATAAAAGCTTCCCTCTATGAGACTTCACATCATCTGTAAGTGAAACCAGAGATCATACCTTAAACTGCTCAGATAAATGTATGATTTTTGACCAGTATTAGACTGACCAAAGCTGCAAACCTGAATTATCATCATGAGTTACTGGCTTTAATTCTACAATTGATCATGTAAGTAATCCCACTATATTACCCTACCATTTCCTGCCAAACCTTGTAAGAAATAGCTCCTTGTCATATTTTCCAGACACATTCTACAGTATTGCTACAGAACTTTAGTTGGCTGGCCTATATGCAAGGAGGTTTGTAAGGTTAGCAGTAGAGAGATGATACAGATAATTCCTTAGGCCAGATTCCCCTCTGGGAAGTCACAGTAACATCTCCTTCTCATGTGTGTAACCACTTCATTTATTGATGATGAAGAGGATGGAGTCAGTAGTTTCAAGTTCTTGTTTAAGTAACTCAACTCAAACTGCCAAGTAAGGGGAAACAGGATCACAGAGCTAACAGCGATTGATCCTTCAATGTAATCAGACAGTGTTAAGTTTCTGCTGGTAAAGTGGTGCTTAGCGAGGCAGACACTAGGAGTGAAGGCTCAGGGGGGTTCTGAAGTTACTCATTCATGTCAGAGGTCTGGAAAGATTAAAGAAACGAGCTGTTCCAAGAACAGAACTCAGTTAATGTGGACTTACTTGTGCTGCTTCATTAGTGTGCACTCTCCTCCTTCTTGGGGGTCTAGGTTGTACATGTAGAGATATCCGTCAGCAGCTCCCACCAATAAACGAGGGATCTTCTGGATTCTAGGAAGGTTCAAGGGAGAGCAACAGACAAGTAAGAACTTCAGAAAGCACACTCTGCTCCCCTCCCATGATTTAAAGTCATTATTTTCCCCACTTGTGCTTCTAGACAGAGAAAACTGGTAACAGACAGAGCACCTAGGACAGAGCTGCATGTAGGAGAGACATCACCACATTTTGGGGCTCACAGGACTCAAGCATCTTACATAACCCAGTACAACAGATTCAGAAGTTACCATCCTGTTATCCAGCTTTGTGCAACCCCAGAGACAAGTATTCCAATGGGAAGCACTTACTTATTTCAGAAACATTACAAGGCTTAATCACTGCTTAAAGGGTGCTTTGAGCTCAGAGAAGTGAAAGCGGAGCCATGAAGTTAATTTAGCATAAAAACAATAAACCCCCCCACAAAGTAAGTTTACTACCACTCAGCTTATTGCTTTTGTAGCTGTGCCAAATAGGACCTGCCTTTGTTGAAGACAGAATAAAGATTTAATTGAGTCCTCAAAATTAACTTTAATGAGTGCTATGCTGTTTTAGAGATAAGAATAATATGAACTTGCTTTCAAAGACTTCTTCAATGCTTGGTCTGCATTGCCTGATTTTGCAATTCGTGAACACAACACACAGCATCCACCCCCTCAGCACAAATGGAAGCAAATGCTGTTAAGCCTATAGGTTTGTTCTCAACATTCTTCTTTCAATATTAAAAGACATCTTCATACAACACTTAGTCTAGTCACAATCCACATATTATGCCTTTTCCTCCTCCCATCACAGGGCTGCTCTTAAACTGGGAGAGGTTTTGAAATGATTACAGGTGATCCATAGCTCCACGTACTACCCTCTCTGCTGGAGGTGAGGTTATGTTCTACAGCATCAGCTTCTACACAGCCAAGCACCCAGAAGGGTGGTGAATGCAGGTTCCATTTCTTTACTCACGTGGCAAGTGCACAGATGTTTTTGTGCCCACAGAACGGCAGGCGGACTGTAGCAAAGGCTCTACCCTGGTTGAACATCTCTGTTACTTGAGAGGGCAGATAGCTTGTGGAGGCCATCAGCACTTTTCCAAAGTAACCTGTCCAGGTTGTAGGCTCTTCCTGAGGTCTGCAAGTCAGAAGAAGAACTTTGTGTTCACATTAACGGTGTGTAAACACTATAAAACATCTCTGGTTTTAAGGGTATTAAGCAGCTATTTGTTTCTCTTCAGAAATAACAAACACCCTAGAGAACTCTAATGCACTCCATTTATGCTACAGGGCACAATGTGTCCTACAATAACCTCAGCCTCTTATTTAAGCATGTTTGATTGTAAACTGACCCTTCTGCTTATACAACTGCATTTCGTAAGGGTCATTATACAAGAGCAAGATCTACTGGAAAGTGCTACACTTCAAGGTATTACTCACCTGTTTATCACTAAGCAAATCATTGTTTCCAACAACTTCCACAGAAACATAAGACAGACTGTCCTCTCATATCAAACAGGAACATTTTACAACCTGGTGCCTTTTAAAGCCCTATTAGCAGGTGGAAAGCATATGGGTATCAGCAGAGGCGAAACACAAATGTAACCAAATGTTAGAACTGCTTCACATTCCTCTTCAGCAGAAATTCTCTTCTTTTCACTGGGAGAACAGTACCACAGCTCAGCTACAGCTGCTAATGCATAAGTGACTTCTTATGCCCTTGACTTCAGGGAAGCATTCAGAAGTCTGTCCACACTCGTTCTGTTGTGTGTAAGAATTTTTATGGCCTTTTCCTTACAAACTCTAAGGCATCTCTGAAACTTACTTTTCTTTCACAGTCTCAAGTTTGAAGATATGCACCGTCTCTGTGTTACTGGATGCAGACAGAAACATGCCATCCATGCTGAAAGCCAGTGAACAGATGCTCACACACCTGGGGGGGATGAAAACCAAAGCATTGTATCTTTGACACTCTAATAACTGGTGTAAGAAGAAAGCTAGTGTTTACTAACTCATGGGAATTGACTTAAATGAGACTATTACTCCCCCATTTTGATAGGTAGGAGTCTTTCCTCACATTCACCACTAAGGTGCTTCATTATGTTCACAAAAGCCATACTGAGAGCTAGGAGGAACTGCAGCTGTATGGTAGACTCACCTGCTGCTCTTCTCCTGTCAGTGATGGCAGGTGACTCACAATTAAGCCAAAGTATGTGGCTTAATAATTAAGCAGATTTCTCAGTCACCACTGCTTCACAAATAAGAAAAAAGAACATTTCCATAATAACCATTTTGAATTCTCTGATACCTTCTTAAAGCGCTTCAAGAGCCAGATCCCCATTAATGATATTCTCCGATGTATATCAGGTATGGGGTCAATTAGTAACAATATGAACTAAGTCTTACCTCTGTATAAAGTACAGTAGAGCTACAAAGTTAGTACCACCACAAATCATAGTACCATTTCACACTGGCTACCAAAGATCACAGGGATTTAGAAGAGAGTGAGAATATTAGATGTGCTACCTCCAACTGCTGTAAGAACACAATACAGCTTACAAAAGGTGATTCACTTTAAACAAGTGCCCTCACCAGTAAGTTCTTAAAAGACAGAGGGAGTACAGTTCTGACAGGATTGTTCTGTGGAACAGTCAAGTCCAAAGGGGTGAAACTGGACGACATTCAAGCTGAAACTGTAATAAGTGTACAGGCAGGGATGAATGAAAACGGAAAGAGGCAAGAATCAGGATGTCAGCTCAGTTGCAGAACATACTGGAGGTCTACCATAAGGAATGAGCTCCAGATTAGCTCAGCTGAACTTTACCTCTTCACTCCCCTTCGGAATTCAAAGAGTTTCTGTCCTTCTGGAATGGAAAACACTCTAATTACTGTCCCCTGTAAAGACAAAGAAAACCATATTTCATTTCAAGTTCATTCACAGTATATGAGCTCTAGTGAGCAGGGTACAACTACAAGCAGCAAACCACTTTGCTGTAACTTACTGCTGTCGATGCACACCACATACTAGCATGAAATATTTATGGAGCTTGTTCGTAGGATGTGTTTGAAGATTAGAGAAACAACAAGAGGTGGGAGCTCCTAATGTAGAGAACAAGCTATGCATCAAGCACAGCCCTTCTTATCATATTTGATCATGAGAATAACACCACCAGACATGTACCACAAGTACAGTCACCTGGATGTCTTTGTGCCTTTATCAGATGCAATCAGTTACACCTTTATATTCGAAGCCTATTACTCAAAGAGTAGAAGCTTCAGAGTTTCTAGTTTATACACTGTACAGTGACAATTTCTCACTGTCTGCCAAAGACCAACAAGACATTTCTCTCTATTCTGACTTTAACTGTCTTGTTTTCATTAGGAAGACAGCATTAAACCAAGACAACTGATTTCTAATAAGCATCTTGCACTGAAGGAAGAAAGAGGATTGTCCTGATTACAACCAGATTAAAATGTGTTTATTTAAATAATCTTATTATCATCCAGCATTTCACAGCATGGAAAGTGTGTCAAATATCATTAACAGCTCTTAACTAAGATTTGTCATTGTAAGTCTAAGCCTTCTTTTTTGGCACTTGTGGATGGAATTGTGTGTGGTTAAACCTACTGAAAACGCTTCAAGCCAAGAAAAAGCCACTTTACCTTTTCTGATGCAGTGGCAAGTTTAGTACCACTCGCGTCAAATGCCAAAGCAGCCAAGGGACTATCATGAGCTGGGATCATATTAGCAGCTCTCTGCAGGAGTGAATCAATAAAATATAACCTTAGGACAGTACAGGTTAAAAGCAGCTTGAGACTGCATATTTAATAACATTCAAGGCAAATATGGGTCTCACTTTATGGAAAAGAGCTTCAGTGTTTGTTTTACTATCTGCTAAGTATACAGAAGCATGTGCATAGAGAGTCCAAGCAGTAGAAGGATACTTAAAAGGCAATTCAGATAGAAATTACTTTACCCATGTGCTCAACTCTGCTCACCCTATCTAATATTAGCATCTATTTTCCTTGCCAGCATTCTGTGAAGCCTCGCTATAAGACACACTGCAAACTGATGCAGGGGAACCTGAACGTCTAGTAATTCCTCTTTGAGCAATGCAGTCATTTCCCCAAACTGCATCTTTAGAGGTGGAAACAGCATTCACAAAGATCCTTACCAGATTGATCGTATCAAAGACTTGTACTTCTCCAATAGTTGCACTTCCTGGATAGGCCAGGTAGCAGTTATCATTGTTTATTGATAAAGCACACAACCCTAGAAGGCATGCAGGAACAGAATTAGAAAGGGGTAAATTCCAAGACTTAGGCAGCAAAACTTCCTGGTTCTGCATTTGAATATTAAATTAATAACTCAAGCTATCCTCATAAGGTATCAGAAGAATCACAACAAGGATAAATAATCTCAGAGTCAACCTGCAACATATTCAACTATTTATTTAAAGCTTTAATTTATGTTAAATGAGAAAAGGAAGCTACAACTGATTAAGCAGTAGAATTTTCCATGGCCGCCATGACTCCTAAAGCATTAACTTGGCAAAGCCTTTAACTAAGTGCTAGCAAAATCTAGTCTGTAGTTCTACTGCTTCTTTTTAACGTTTTAACACATCCACTCTAGGAGGTTAAAATGCTGGGAGGATGCACTTTAAGGCAGAGCCTGCTATTTGTTCTTAAAAGCCTCACCTGGATTAAATGGGTAGGCTTTAAGACAGCACTCATGTATTTAATTGTTACTTTTATTTGAAAGTGGAATTACCAATGCTACAGTTCCCTGTAGGAAGCATCCTATGTTGACACAGAGTACACCTTTCAGAGTTATACTGGCTTCTAAGAACACGCTTACCTGCAGGATTGGGAGGCGTCTCCCTGATTGTATGTAGTACCTTCATGTCTCGTATGTTGTGTATATAAAGAGACTCTTCCAGACATACTATCAGCCTCTAGACGTGGGAAAAAGGATGAAATGCTGGTATCAAACTGGAGTTTATATTACTTTACCAATCCTAAAAGAAAATGCATCCAAAAACGCGGTAGGCACCTTCCAACAGAGAAAAAGTTATACCCACCTGATGGGAAGAAACAAGTATGACACAAGACACATAAGATACACCTCTTGACAAGGCTTCAACAGTGCAACATTACACTTGATGACTTGAACTGACCAGTGCACTTGACTTCTCTCAGTCACACTAGTGCAAATTGATTTAAGTGAAAATGATTTACATTACTAGTTTAATACATTACTAGTTTAAGGCAGCAAGCCAGAAACCTTCATTTAAAGCTATTTAATACTTACTCTGTACCTACCTTTACGTATTTCCCCTCCTTCAAGAGGCAAATTCACATGTGAGAATAATTTTCTGCTGTGGGTAAGCAGAAAAAAAGCCCCATACAAGATCTTTTTTTACCATTTATTGAGCCTATGTTTTAATCATTTGTGAGGGGCTTTAAGTTCTTTAGCATCTCATTTACACTTCTGTAGGCTACATCTGGATAACTAACAAGATGTTACTCATCTAATGCTGTCTTACTATGTCAGATATCAAATTAGCCACTGTTCCCCTTATTTTAAACAGGAATCCCATCCTCCCACATCTGAAATTTGAGGGCAGATATGGATACTATGAAGATGTTCTTGAGATGCCATTCTTTATTTTGAATGAGCTGTTTGAAGACAGACTCATCTGTATTTGCAGACTAATGTATTACTAATGATTTAGTAATAACAGCAAACTACGGTTCCTGGTCCTATACTCTAGAATTTCACTAGTTCAGTGATTTTATTTATGTTTAAATAATTCAGCAAACTCAAAAGACAGAAGAAGTGAACACATAACTTCAAATTTAGGCCTGAACCAAAACTGTTAAGTGTCTTATTTAGGACACAGGATGATTCACATTGGGAGGGACCTCAAGAGGTCTCTAGCCCAACCTCCTACTCAATGCATGCTCAGCTTACTCAGGGCATTTTCCCCAAGTAAATACATACACATAGAACCAAAACTACTTAAATATGAGCACCAAGATGCCATACAGAAGCTACAGTTGTGAAAGTGTAAGTTAATGTCAAACAGCAATTCTGCCACCAAAGCAAAGAACATCAATCAACAGACGTGCCAGAATAAGAGCCACAACCCCTTCCCATGTTTTCATCTAATCAAAATTACTACTCACCTGTCTATTGAGTTTGACAGCCAAGATGGTGTTGGAGTAACTGTAGTTGCAAATCTCTGTCCCCTTCTTAAAGTGACAAACTTTGAGCTTGCGTGGAGCTTTAAGGCTAACTATGGCCACCAGGCTACTGGAGAAGAGCCTCTCCACAATGCACACATCTTCTGTGTCAGCTGAGGAATCACAATAGCGAGGGGAAAACAGAGGGAGATTTCAGGGAAGATGAATTATGCACCTCAACAGGAAATACTGTCCAAGACAATACAGTCTAACACAGCAAACATTCTACCACAGCAGCTCAGAGCTGAGGTGGGGTGCAGGACAGGCTTATAAAGCAGAAAATCTATAGTGAATGATGATTTACAAAGGTTTCCTCCCTTCATCTCCCCATGATTTCATGCCAGTTTATGCTTCAGAACAGAGCACCTACTGCTCCCACCCAAGATCCAACAGGAAAAAAATCCCAGATACAAAAAAGCTGCCAAATTCCAGTATTTTACAATCTTCTCTTACCTCTGCAGAAATACAGGAAAGCAAAGGGGTTACTTGTGCTTCAGGGTTTTTTGGTGTGTGTGTTTCATTTTTAAAGCTATACTTTACTTTAGATTTTTGATGACCAAACACCTTGGAGTTTCTACACACCTCTTGTCTTCTTGTACTCAAAGAAGCTGGTAAACCCATTTGCTATAAGACTGCTTCCGTCTCTTACCGGCATTTTTACACAAACGACCTCTTACCTGACAGTCCCTGTAAGCAATTCATACAAAAGGAATCACCCAAGCCCAGTGTGTCTGCATAGCCACAAAACAGCATTACTTCTGTCAAGTGTTCTACTATGCACTGGAGGCAAAGGAGGAACACAAGTCACCATTCAAAGTGTGGAGAAGACAGCAGGAGGGAGGGGAGTCCAGGATTTCTGGCAAAGCAGCACTTTTAGAGCATTCAATTGTAGTACAGTATTGGATTATAGTACAGTAGGAGTGCATGTCCCACCACCAGTCACTCTTGCATGTCTGCTTCCCCCTCTCATCCCCTGAAGCTCCTCTCCAAAAGCCCTAGGGACATAGTGGACATAGTCTTCACAGCAGGAGAAAGCTGGAGAGAGCATTATCACACTCTGCAGCTCTCTCTCAGCTACTGGCTAAACCTACCCCTCCATTACAGAACTGAATCAAGACAAATGACTTGAGCCTTTGGCCTTCATCCACCAAAACAACCAAATCAGAACAGCCTAAATCAGTATCTGGATTAGCTCAGTGCTTAACATGCTCCAAACCATAAAGCTACCATAAGAAAAAAAGAGCAAGCTTATTTCTTAAGGCTTCTGTTTTGGCCAAGAGACACATTAAATAATTAGTTGGCACTGTTCTCATTACCAGTGACAGAAACTCCCTGAAGAAAGTCCTGTCCAGCATTCTCAGTGCATGACAAAGTCACTGCTGTGTGACACATCTGCTTTGAAAGTGGCTTTTTCTAGGCAGTTATTTCAAGAACAGAAAATATTTAATGCTCTATGTTCTTTTGAGAGAGAGAAATAGTCTCCTTATGGAAAAGGAGCAGGCTTATACTAAGCATTTGCAGCATTCTATGCTACATAATTGACTTTTATCTAAATCTCCTATTTAATATGGTACTTTTCCAGAGGAGACAAAACAGCTTACTGAGGCTTTGAAAATTCAATTTCCTCATCCAACAGGGGATAATGCATTTAAGCAATGACTTTGTTTTCAAGGAACTGTTTTCCATTTTGCTGATGCCACACACAACACATGAATAACAGAAATCTGCTTCAATTAGCTGACTTTCAAACACAGAGATCCGTGTTCTCTGAATCAGACCAATAGCACAGAAGATTCTCAGATGTTTTACAGTATAGGTTATCTTTCCATGGAAGCCTGGAGTCCTTCACAATGAAGGCATCTCTTGTAAAGAGTTAGAAGAGCAGCACACAGACACCAAGAAACCACAGTCTGACTGCTCCCTGCTCCTGGGTGAGCACAGCTTCTTTCCTATTCAGGGGAAACCGTGTGTTAAGACACAGCTTCTGTGCTTTATTACTCTCCCAGGCAGGAGAACTGGTATTGCAGAAGAGGACTAGCAGCAGATTCAGATGGAAAAGCGCTGTCCTACACTGCGCTGATGGGAAGTGTAGGCAGTAGGGAAGGCACACAGGCAAGAGCACTGTCAAGAACTAAGCAGTCACAGAGAGATGAAAACACTTTCAACAAGGAAAATGCTTAAAAAGGTATAGACTATCCTCCACTCTCACAACTATAATACAGATAATTACCTTTAGAGAAAGGCTTAGTGATGAGCTCTTAATTTAAATTAACTTAAAATACAGGGTGCACCTCTGCTCCTTTGTGTTCCCTAACAGGAAGAAGTGATAAAAATCTCTTTACAACTGCCAAGTCATGTATGCTCCCTCACAAGCAACCATTCAAGTATAGTACCAGTACCAGTGCAGTATACTGCACATCCTACCTTCAGCTGACCTGAAGTCATCGTATGTTCAGAAACACTAGTGAAGTCCTACAGCAATGCTGCTAGTCACAGGGGTTTCTCTATTTGTATTTTCTCCTTTATGCTACACAATTGAGCCTTGCTAGAAACTCCAATTCAAAATACAGTAAGAACAAAAAGAACTGCAGAACAATGTACCTATCAGCAGTGAGGGGAAAACAAGCAAATACATAACAAGATTACAGACAGTATCATAAACACAAGCATGTAGCATCACAGACCAGAGCTGGTTAGAACCAGCCAGATTATGATCAGCTGTGCTTTCATTCCATTTTTAACCCAAGAACATGAAGCACATTATCAGCATTTATTAAGCCTTAAAGCACCCTCCAATCTAATATTTTCTCAGGGGGATCAAGACCAAGCACAGAGTTAGGTGATTTTGTACAGAGGCACAGTAGAAGTCAGTGATGGGAGCAAAGAAACCTCCCAGTCTGTTCAGCTGACCTTTCAAACACAAGAGAGCTGGGGAGTATTCCGTAGTTTACTTTAAACACCTACATGAGAACTTGCAGATCATTCTTAGAGAAGAAAGGGAGGAGACCTTAAAAGTGCTCACTCAAATCAATGCAAAGTCTTAAACTAAATCAGGAGGAGGTGGCACATGTCTGGGAGACCTCAAAGATACCCTTCCTTGCAAAAAGGAGGTACCAACAGACAGGAAGCCCTCCATGGTTTGCAAGCCCAAGGCTGAAAATCATTTAACTACATACAAAACCAAATATGAAGGTCTCAAATATTTAGATTTGCTGCAGATATTGCATATCCCATGAGCAAAGTTTGCCTTACACAGGTCAAACTGTCAAATTTTCTGCTAAATGTTAGCTCATGCTATGCTCTGTATTTACAGACTTAACACTCATGGAAGAAACGTCACAATATTCATGAGGTTAAGCCAACACAGGCATCCCAGAACAGTCTTCAGACAAGACTGGAACTACACGGTCTAAATGCCAATCCCAGCTGCTTTATCAGTTCATGTCAAGGTTTTCTAAGCAAGGCACTTGACCCAACCTGTATTTTTAATTGCAAGGACTACCTAGAAGCAGCAGTCCCACACAGTTCAGTCCAGTCTCTTTCAATATGTTTAGTCAGTGTCTCGTGTAACAGGAGTCATCTTCACTGGGTCCCCTGAGGTGATATCAGTCAAGATATTGTAAGTGCCTCACATACTAGAGAGGTCAGGTACCAACTCAACGGCATAAAATGGAATTCAAGCCACCCATTAACCAGTACAACCAGCCCATGACTCAAACAGGCAAAGGTAGCTGCAACACAGCTTAACCTGACCACAGGTGCCTAATTTGAACCTCACAATTACTTCTCTCCATTGACTGTATACAGAATAGGGCTGCCACCACAGGTAATAGGTGATCTGAATCATACACCATTTTCAAACTTAAGATACCACAGGGTCAGGTCACTTAGGGAACAGAGGCTGAATTCTCTTGTATAGCATGGCACACCAGGATCCAACCATAAGTGCTGACATCATAGCTATTGGTACCATCTGTTCACATGGAGTTTACACATAGCACTCATAGTTTACTTCTGAAGTCCTGGCAAAACAGGGGATACCACTTCTCTCCCCAAACTTCCCTCTGTTTCACCTCATATCCTACTCAACTGTGATGAGTACTGAGAAGTTATGGGAGTTTGGATTATTCACCTTTTTGGACAAGTAAACCTGCAACTATAATGTTAAAAAGTATTCGTCTAACAGCAAATATTAGGATTAAGGATAATCAAGGCTTTGTTTGCTTATGTGATGAAAGTGTATTAGTGGTTGCCTGCCCTAATAGCCAATATAAAGACCCAAAAGACACACTTCCCACGCAAGTATTTTAAATGCCAAACTGCTATATAACCTGGCTATAGGACACAGCATGAGAAAAATTTAAATACAGAACACTGATACATGGTTTTACCCTGCCAGCATTCTATTGTTCTGTGTGGCATTTCATCATACACTTAAAGATTCCTTTTATGTCAATCAACCTGTGAAAAAATGAAAGGTGTCCTTCCCAAATTAAGCCAATTGAGGGGATAAAAAAAGAAAGGAAGATACTCACTGCATTCATAGATCTGCTCTAATTTGTCCACAGAAGAAAGGGAGAAGAATTTGTAGCCTGATTTACTGCCAACTGCAAGGGACCTGGAAAAGAAACAAACCAGTCAGGAACATCAATTAGATCAGCTGTGATTACCCTTGGACAGATTCTTACCCTATTCTAAAACTCCACTTGGGTTAGTTCAGCAAGCAAAGCAATAAAAAGCTTGATCAAAAAAGCCTCGAAAGACACAAGCAGCTTCCTCAGCTCTGAAAATACCCAGTAGCTTCAGAATTACCCCAGGTGTGCAATCCTGCTTCATATTTAATGGAATGAGAGTTCACAGCTTAACATAAGCCTGCTGCCCCATTCATACCAGTGACTTCTCCATACAACCTAAAAGCTTTAGCGTGGAGGAAAGATGATGACTTGAATAATGTAATGCAAACCCATTACATCATTGGCTCATCATTAGAGGTGACCTCAAAGACCTTTTACACCAGGCTGTCTGGGAATTTTTGCTCCTTACACTGTAAAATGCCCCAAGCATCCCCAAAATTGCTTTCGTATTAAAAATAATAATAATAAAAAGGAATTAGAGACTGCCAGCTTTAATTTTCTCTGGTTTTATTTGATGATACTCTAGCACCTCCAAAGCACACTGGCAAGTCTCAGCCTTACAAGTACTTATGCTGAATCTCTGATCAGAGGCACCCTCTTAAAAATGCTATTCACTGACGTTAAACAGATTTTAACAATAGCAGAACATTCAAAACCTGACTACAAACCCTTCTTTCCTCCATTACTCATTTTTCACACTTAGCTCACAGACTATTTAATTGCTTTTCCAGTCAGAGTCAAAGACAGGTCTTCAATTTTATGCTAGAGAAAACCTTTAGGCTTGTCTTGCAGGTCTTTACACATCAAGGCAGCAGACAATGGCACGTTCTTATTTTCCTCTCCCCATGCAGAGGAGGATTTTTACGCCACAGAAAAAGAAAATTAACAGTCAATACACTTGTGCAGAAGTGTATTACTGTGCTTATAGCTCATATATTTCTTCCTGCCAGGATACATGGAGTAAAACTAATTAAATCCCGATAAATGTGCTTCGATCTGCCAAGATGTGGCGAGTCATTCACTACAAGGCTCAAACCCAACCCTGCCAAAATGCCCTTCTGAACTCAGTAAGATGATTCTCTACTTCACATGCACTGACAATTAGTTCTGCATTTAGACTACAACACAGATTCCTAGATTTTTTGTTCTTTCTGTATTTTCCTCTCATGGCTCCAAAGTGAGCCCCTTTTTTCAATTTCTTGGTACTTAGAAGACTAAAAATTGTTCCTCACATGGCCTTCCCTCTGAAATAAAGATCCCAGGCTATAAAATCAACCTCTCTATGATGGTATGACCTTCTCTTCTAGACAAAAAATACAACCAGCACAGTCTGGCTAAGAAACTGTATTTGAGAAGGTTTAAGTCTTCAAATTACAATATGCAACATCCAGGCAAGAGAAGAAAATCTCCTCAGATTCAATAACCAAGACATTAAAAAAGCATATTGGGCTTAAAGACAGAGAAGCAACTATAAAACAAGATTTCATTGCTGCTCCTCTAAGTCACCTTTGGAATACTGAACTTCATTTCTCTTCAGACAAATCTGGTACATTCAGCAGATTCTATCTGATGAGTTGCCAAAGATGCTTCAATGTTTTTCCTCACCTACTCCTGTACAGCTCAATGGAAATCCAAATTCTGTAGAAAATTATGAAACTGAAAAAAAACCTCTTCCAAGATCATCTCCTGCTTCCCACCAAAGGAAGTTTAACAAAGAATGGCATTAAAACTGTCACTTCACAAAGGTAAACAAGCACTCAACCAGGTTAAAAATAAATGGGAGTCACAAGACTCTTTGCAATATAAACGATCTACAAAAGCCATGGGATGATTTCCTCACTGAGAATGCCACGCAGCAGCTCTGCCTGCAAGTGTTATTACTAGGCGGAATTGAACCCTGTGTTGTACTTAGCTTTAAACACAGCAATATTGCTGTATCACTGTTTTCCTGACAGCATCACTGAAACCAGTGAGCAAGCCCTGTTTTCGTGTTCTTACTGACTACCTACAGCTCATTTAAATAAGCTTTAGACACTGGTGAAAGCGAGTTGCATACATGACAAAAATTATTAGCCTGAGTAGAAGCCAAAAAACCAGCAGCACAGAATGGACCTTTCCAGCCATGTCAACTGCTTTTTGTTATTTCTTTCAGGATCAAGGTGATGAAGTCCCAAATAATTTGTCTGCACAGACCTGCTCGAGTCACTATAATTAAACCCATTGCAGTATACAAGTGTAAGTGCAAAACAATCCATTTTTCTTCTAGAACAGCGTTCTTGGTCTTGGAGGGCTTTTCTTCAATGTACTCTCAAATTACTTCTTATGAAACTACTGGAAAAAGGCTTTTTATATGTAATAGGAGAACTCAGTAGGCTGAGTTAGACCAGCACAACCACAGTGATTTAAATCCCTCATCTTCCCCCGCACTGATATTACACTTAAGCCTTTAAGATGCCTGATAGCTATCTACATGACCGAACTCACAAAACAAGTATCTAGCCAAAATTACCTCACCTCTAAAAAAATGTGTAACCATATGGGGGAAGAAATATGATCAATAGGCCATTCACTTATTGCTCAAACAGATAGGGACCAACAAAAAGCTACTGTGGTTTATCAGAAGCTCCTTGTACAATGCGAGTGTTATGTTTTGTTACCACCAATTTTCAGCAGCTGATAAGAAACTGAAATTGAAAATAAAGTATTAAAAATTTCACCTTTTCCTATGCTACACAGAGGTGGTTTTTTAGCTCTGCTATGTGGAGCCTCTATTACACATCCCAGATTGTAGACTTTTGAGTTGTTTCATCATCAACGTTGTCTACTCAGTACAAAATGACCAATACGGCCATGATTTATGCAACTGTGCTCGCCCCCTTCTTTCAAAGATAATACTGCAGCCTGATCCAAGGCTACATGAATCTTGAGAGCATTTTCCAAGAGTGGCTGGCATAAATAATTAAAACTAACCTCATCAAGCAAACGGTGGTATGAGGTAGTTCAAGATGCTGACATTCACTGTAAGTGCACTCACCTAGAGTGGGAAATCAGCTGGTTCAATCTCTGGCTCTTTAGAAACAAGTTCTTTCAGATGGGTTAGAATCATAAAGGTTTTTCTTTTGCTTCTTTAATATACATACAGAAGGAATAAAACCAGTTTTTCCCTTTCTGTACCACAGAAGACAAACTATTACTCAGAAATATTCTACATTAATCAGGAAGATCCTACTAAGGGCATCTCTCTCAAAGATCAAAAATCAATTGCAGCTGCAGTATAAACAGAAGCCATTTCTATTTTAAATAACTGGTTAATTAAACCTACCTTCATTACAATACAGTCTCATTATACCAATGCTCCATTTCAAAACCAATGTAAATTTCCAAAGACAAAACTTTATGCGAACAAAGGCTTATGATGAGGGGTGGAATAATAAAAGAAATCAATGAAATGACATAAGAATTACTAAGGAAACTTACTTTGCTTTATTTCCCCCTACTAAATGTCTGCTGAAAGCAAAGCTGTAACATCTCACAGACAGGTTTTAATCAAAAGGTCAAGAACATCATTATTTTGGGCAAGATCTAGACACAAAAAACTCCTACATTCAACAAATTTGTCAGCAACACTCTGACAAAGCACAGGAGATTTTCCTGTTTTAAAAGAAAACCAACACAAACTGAAATCTGCTGCAGCAAAAGGAGACCACACTTGCTCCTCACTTAACATGCAGCAATAGGCTGGGACAACAAAGTTCATAATCCAAGAAATATTAGTACTCTCAGGCCAAACTTCCATCTAAATAGTTGCCTGCTGAGGAACAGTTCCTCTGCAAGCCCACCTTGGCTGCTACCTCCACTGCAACACCAGTGAATGCACAGCATACAATTCTTTCTCTCTGCTATCCTTCCTGAGCACAACAGCTACATGATCTCTCTTTCCTTCTTTTTTGTGTATCCAGCTTTAAAGCCTGCAAGCTCTCCTGTCCTCAAGGATCATGGGTGAGTAACACTTGAACCTAGAAACAAAGTGAGATGAGTGAATGCTCAGCAGCTAACCCTTGTTTGTTTCACCCCAAGCAGTTTACTAGAAATACGAACATCATATAGTTAGGGAACTAGAAGTTCTGCAACATGAAGCATGCTATACAACTTTAAAGCTGTAAGCATTTGCTCAGAACACAGAACAAGACTGATTCACCTGGAAAAAAATAAGGTAGAATTAGGTAAGAAATAACATATATAGACTGACACCTGTCAGACATAACTCCATACATACACAAAAGCAGAGACTAAAGGCAACCTTGCAAATAAGGCATACACCAGTGTTTCACTGCAAGTCCAAATGCAAGGCTCCCTTTTGTTCTTTCATCAGGAATATGTTTTCAAAGCTACAGCAATTATTTTGTTTCCATGTGCAGTCACACAATTACTTATTAGTCTCTTGACCTGCATTATTTCACAAGCAGGTTTTGGGGTTTTCTGCAAATTGAATCTGAACACCATACAAATTAAGTTTTTCCAAAGGCATTTCTCTGGGAATATTTGTGTAACAACTTAGAGACTGAAAGTTTTATAGACAGATACAAGCTTTGAGATCTTGAAGTTATCCTTAACAGAAGTTACAAGCTTCTAGTACATTACTTATTTTCCTCGTGGGTTTAGAGCTTGTAGGAGTTTGCTTTTCCAATAAATATATCTGTGCTCAGTTTTAGCAGTTCTACCAGAAGTAATACAAAGAGCACTCAGGCTTAAGCTGTACTTCTTACGAAGCACCTATTGTTAAAGGCTTCCAACTGCTAAAACACTGAAATCACCCACAACCTTCCACTGCATGGTTTTGCTGGCACCCAAATTCAGATCAGTTACTTCACTTTCATCTGCAAGCTGAAGCTTCTTCCAGACACTGCCAGTCACAACGAGTTGTGCAATGATTGATTCACTGGGGAAAAGGTCCAGGACCAAACCAAGCACATTAACATCTTCTGAAAATGACCTTCGCTATGTTTCTACTTAATGAAAACATATCATATCAAAGAGAAGCCACAAACCAACTGCTTCTCCTACATTATAGGTGGAGTGTTTTCAGGCAGAGTTCCAGCCAATAATTCAAAGCTCCCATGTAAATAAAGCTTAAGGCAATATGGAATAAAGAGGCAAGACAACACTTGCAATAATGTAGATACTATTTCCAAGAGACAATGTCACTACATAAAGCATCCATGAATGAATATTAACAAGGAAAAGTTAAGTCTGGGAAAAACAAAACAGCTAAAAACCAAGGGAAAAGCAACAGCAACTCTTATGTTGACAACTTTCTTCTCACTACCAGCAATTCGATTTCCCAAGACTAAAAGCCACCATGAAGCTCATGTCCTTCCTACAAGAGACAATAATTAATTACCAACCCTTCATAAACCCAATGACACATTAGCTCAATACCTATTTTTACCAGCAACAAGTACAAGGCCATTGGCACTGCTGCCTAGGTAAGCAAAACACACTTGAGCCAGAGTGTAACCAGCACCTTGTTAAGTTGAAGGTGAAAGCTTTAAATGCTATAACAACAATGCACCCGGGTCATTTGTTTTTCGGTTTTGTCTGTCAGCAATTCCTCTAATTACTGAAGCACACCTTAAAGCATGATGTGAGCTCTACTGACTGAGAAAACATAAACAAAGCTTGTCTTTCATATACCGGCTGAAAGAATATGCATGTGTTTACCTTGCCTGCCTGGAGAAAGACTTGTTACTTGTAATTTAAGGTGAAAATAAGTAAGCTTTCTGAGGCCTAGCATGGAAAGTAATTCATTCCTGGTAAGTTCTTTGCACCCTTGTCACTTGGTGATCTTCTAGATATATACAACAGTATACTAATAAACAAGGAGTCCACTTCTTGCTTCTCTATTCTAACAAGAAACTAAGAGAGATCATGGGTGGGGAAAAAAGAATAAACTTCAGTTTAAAGAAATTACACAGTCACTAAGTTCTACACAGTTTAAGAACTACAACATAATGCAGTTATTTGGGTCACTTACCACATCAGACAAGTGTCTGAGTAAGAAGCTGCTCACTAAGATGTCTGCAAGACTTGTTTTATTCTTACCACTTTCCTTACAGAGATTCCTTTGAGCCACTATTAGAAAGAAGGAATACTTATTTGACACCAGCCAGCCAGTTCATTTGTCTCAAAGTAAGTAGCCTTTTAAATTATTCTCCTGATTTTGAGACAAAAATATGGACAGGAGCCTTTTTATATTTATGACATTTCTATGATGGGAATCTGAAAATGCAGAAGTATTCAAAAGTGACACAAAAGACTTACTAACCCAAGACTTTGAAGTGCAAAGATATATATGGGCCAGGTCTGGATCACATGAAGAGCCAGCACCAAAATTCTCATCAGCTAATCACTAAGTTATTTACATACACAAATAATATTTAACATGGGCATGCAAATGCTGAATAAATAAAATAATCAGCTGTAGCACAGAAATCGAAGAATACTCTTTGGATACTTACAAAAGTTAAATGGAAAAAGTAACATACAAAGTTGAGGAAAGAAATCTTTATCCCGTTGTTCCTTTCCCCCTCCCTTAAAAAGGAATCGCACTTGTCCTTGAGGAAGGATTTCAAGCTGTACAAGCCAAAGAGCTTATTCAAATAAACTTATTACATTTACTTTCTTTTTACTTCTGTCTCAGGTTTGTTCTCCAGTCAAGCCTGCAGCTCTCTTGTCCTGTAGAAGTTCTTGGGGTTCTTTTGTCACAACTCAGTGATCTTTGAATACACACAGCTCTCCACAAAGCTAAGGTGCAACTGAAAACAGGCAACTGCTTTAGAGAAGAGGAAATACTAAAACTTTCAGATCACAGTGCTGGACAGCACATTTGAACTTCAAAACCTCATATAATGACCTTCATGAACTGCAAAAGAAAGGTGAGAGATTTCCTCGTTGTTATGACTTGTTTTAGCTAGTAACAGGTAAAAAATGGATGGTATCTAAGGAAAACATGGGCTTGTTTTATATGCACAATGGCAGTGTGACCTCTATATGGTACTTGATGAAAAAACCTCAAAAGTAGTTGCAGAAGTCTTTGGCTGGAATCGGTATATGGATAATGATTTACTTACAAACACACAGAAGACTACTGCCTCCCCCCCATCCTTTATCATAAGTTATTTACTGTTAAAAGTTTTTTGTCTCAAGTCTATCCAGCTCCACTTGTTCATCTCTTCACCTCAACAAAACCTACAAAAGCAAACAGAGTATTTCCTTCTGCGATGCGACCTTCCTCCTTGATCTTGGCAGCCACCACAAATAACCTTCTCACCTTCACAGTCCCCATATAACACCCTACATCCTGAAGACAGTCAAGAGATCTCTCTTGCGAGGACAAGATATGGGTTCTTGTAAAGCCAACGAGTTGTTAAAAGAAGAAACCACCACCACACACGTGGATTATGCTGTGATGCCAACCTGAGATCATTTCCTCTTACTCACTTCCTAAAACAAAACTCCTCCTTTCTCAAGTACAAGTTCTTTCGGTTATTGGCCCCCAGTTTCATCTCTTAGGTATTTAAGATGGTCAAATCCTTCTTTAAAGGATCTTCAGGGCTCCAGTTCCGACTATAAGTGATTTCTTGAACTGAAAACCAATGAGTTTTAATACCTCATTTAAAATTAATATGCTAATTAAGCTAAATACACTGCTACAGTTAAATGACTTCCAAGACGTGCAGCATGAATGATCTGACTATTTCTAGAGCTGAAATACAAAGAAGTACAATTTCAAGGCCTACAGGAGAAGGGCTTCTTTTCCAAAGCCAAAATAAGCACAAGCTCATTAAAATACCTCTAAATCTACCCCATTCCTGGCAGTGTTCAAGGCCAGGCTGGATAGGGCTTGGAGCAACCTGCTCTAGTGGAAGGTGTCCCTGCCCATGGGACAGGGTTGGGACTGGATGAGCTTTAAGGTCCCTTCAACCCAAACCATTCTATGATTCTACACTGCTTCAACACAGACAACAGGGGAAAATAAAATAAGCTGTATGAAAAGACAACTATAATGAGCTTTCAGATAAAATCTCTGCACCTCCTGGAAGACTTGGGTCTTAATGCCTGGGTCTTCCTAAAAGCTTGGGCACCACCACGAAGGGGAATCAGCTCTTCCCCAAAGCAACAGCGAGCAATGCCTCACACGCACAAGAAAGAAGAGCTCCGCAGGGCAACACCCGGGGCTGCGGTAAAGGCACTATGCTCAGGCACCCCATCACCCCTCAGCTCCACACACAGGGACGAGACCCGCTCTGTGGCGGCGACGGCAGAGGCTGCTGGAAGGGGAAGCACCAGAGGGGGGACCCCACCACGACCCCCTCCACCTCAGCATCCCCCGGGCTCCCCCTCAGGGCCGCGTTCCCTCCACCTCAGGCCCGGGCGCCGCCCCCTTACGTGTTGTCCTGGTTGAAGTTGGCGAAGAGCAGATGGCCGCTGCCGGCGTCGCCGCTCTGACTGGCCAAGTTCATGGCGGGCCGGCCCTCGCCACCCCCGTCCGGCGGGGGGGAGAACGCCTCCACCAGGCAGCGGACCCTCAACCCCGGCGGCCCCAGGCCCCGCCGCGCACCCGCGGCCTCTTCATACCCGCCGGCCCCTTGTTTACGCTGCGGGCAGGCGGGCAAAGCGGCCCTTGCGCATGTGCAGTCCCGCCCCGCTGGCCCCAGCCGGCCACCGTACTGCCGCCGCGCCCTGCGGTAGTGGGAGGGGACGCGCATGCGCTCGGGTGGTGGCGCGCAACTTGGTTGGGAGCAGTGGAGGTGGGGGAAAGGGGAGGAGCACCGTTCTGAAGCTAAGCAGGGCCCGCCGGGGTCGGCGGCTGGATGGGAGACTCACAGCCGCGCCCCGACACGGGCATGTCTCCGCTGTCCACACCCGGGACCGCCGTGACAGTGTCGCGGTCCCCGTGGACCCTCCGCGGTCAAACAGCACCGTTCCCCGCTGCCGGCGCCTCTGCAGTGCTGCTTCGTGCCACCGGAGGTCTCCAGGGCGCAGCAGACGGGGCGGCGGGCTCTGCTCCTGGGCACACTGCTGAGGGCAGCGGCTTTGTGCCCTGGGGTGAAGATGCTCTTGAGGGTCCCCAGCTTGCAGGACAGGGCAGGAGACGGTGTCAGAGCAAGGGGAGTCACGGGCTGACAGATACAGGGAGCAGCTAGTCAGGAGAGAATATAAATTACAAGCAAAATAAGGCAACTGAACAGGGAATGTCTGGAAAGTGGATCAAAATCAAGGACTTGGGCCTGAAAAGTTATCCCAGCCGTGCTGGGAGCACTGAGTACTGGGGTTTGTGCCACTTGAGACAGCTTGCCCAGGAGGGTTCATGAGTGACGGAGCCATCTCCCCCCGATATAAAAGGGACTCTCTGGGCTCCCCCACGCTGCTGGCAAAGGGACCCCTCCAATGGTTTAAACCCAAGTGGCCCTGCCCCACCTCCCTGCTGCCCTACGTCCATCCTGCCGTGGCTCATGGTCACCCCTGAGCCGGTCCTGGCACCCATGTTGCTCACCTCTGCCTCCACTACAGCTGCTACCAATGCGCCCATGCGTCCTGTGCCTCCTACTCACGTAAATCCTCTCCCACAGGGAGGTTTTTCCTGCAGGAACCCCCCTCCCTGTGGAAATGCAGTTACACTGTGCCCTGCCAGAGTCCAGCACCACTGTTGTAGCACCCAAAGGTGCTGGGATCCATCATCAGGAGCAGGGGACAACACAGAGGCATGTCTCCACTACGGGACTCCTGCATGGTCTGGGATCTGCACAGTTTGGGGAGGAAGCAGCCCTGGCCTTCATGACCCATTCCTCCTCTAAAGGAAAACTCTGGTTTGGAGACAAAGGTCAATGCATTCAGTGAATTCCTGAGTCTTGGGAACTCTCCTTAACATCATTACACTTACTCAGATCTTTGCAAGAAGATGGGGAGAGCACCAGGGATAGGGGAGGAAAGAAACCCAAGGTGCTCTTGTGGGCAGCAATACATGAGAGGAGCTGCCATGAGGAAGGGTACGTGTCCCAGTGGGGTACAGGTGATGTGAGCATGGACATCTCCGCATCCCACCATCCTCCGCCTGCCAGGTTTGGAGGCAGCGCCACCGCGGCTGGAGCCATTCCCCAGCACCATGCGCGAGGCTTTGGTTGCCATAACAACTGGATTCAGGCTTCAAAAATAGTAACTTATTTTTCATTCGATTTGCCTTTTGCCCTCTGAGACAGCTCTATTTCAGGACCGATGGTTCGCTTCAAGTGCCCATTGCCAGCACCCCTGGCTGCAGCCTGGGGGCTTCGGGGATGGGGGCTGTTTGTTCAACACAGTTTATCGCTGTTTTCCTTCCTTTCCTTATTCAGGCCCAGAGAAAAGGTAAAGCAGGGCACAGGCATCACGAAATAGCCTTTGCCAAAGCCTCATCATCGAGCAGGTTGGGGAAGGAGCTTGACGAATACCTTCTCAGCTAAGTGGCAGGACGTGGGAGAGGTTTTCAGGGATGATCTCACTCTGCATCTCAGCCTGGACCTGCTGCTCTCAGCCAGGGATTGGTTGTCCCAGATACGCTGAGAAGGTCCTCCTGAAGATGGGCCTCATTTTGTTCCCCCCTGCACCTCCTGGATCCTGCTGTCACCAGCATGGTCTCCAACAGGGTCTTCCATCTATGATGGGAAGTGTGCAGGAAGGCTGATCCCGCTGCCAGCTCCCAGCACTGGGGAAGTAGGGTGCTTCTTGTGTGCGTTGTAGACACCCCACAATGAGGCATGAACCTGGAGCATCACCCCTTTTGCATTCCCTGGGGGGATGAGCTGCTTTCGGATGGCCTTGGAGAGCGTCCAAGGATTAATTCATGTCTTGAATTAAGGGGTTCTTTAATTTTTGTCTCTTTTGGCTTTTGGAAGAGTTGAGCGTGCTTTATTTCCTATGGAAACAGCCATACAAGCATAACCCTTCATGTTGAGATGTGCTCATCTGCTCCACCTTTCATCATTACAGCATCAGCAAGGAGAGGTTGAGCTGGGGGGAAGCAGGATTCTCCTCCTCCACTTGCTGCTGACCTTATGTCACCTTTCTTGTCCCTTAGATGCTGACCTGAAGGTGCCTGCAATCTCTGGCACACGGTGGGCACGGATGATGCATGTATGAGCCCCCATTACCTTTTGAATCCCCTTTCTAAGCTGCGCAACCTCAGATGTATGTTGGGACGTCACCTCCTTTGAAAGCCTCCCTGGGTGATGGAGAAGATGGAGCAGTGAAAGCTTAGGGTAGAGACGGGGTGAGGATTCTGGGCTCTTCAGCCCTTGCCTTGCTTTGCCCCCCTTCTCCTAAGCAGGGAATTGCATCCCCACCCATGGACCCCCCACAGCGATGGGGCTGGGACAGAGCCACCCACCCTGCCGGGGCCTCTGGAAAATAATAGAGAAAACACAAAAACAATTAAAATCAAATCGAGAAAAGCCAAACCAAGCCAAGCAGCTCCCTGGGGATGTCGGGGCAGGCTGGCCCTGCCCTGGGGCAGGCAGCGATGCCTTGGTACCCATCCCGGGGGACCCAGCCATGGAGGGGATGGAGGGGGGCTGCTTGCCCGCACTCGCCGCTTCCCCCCCCCAGCTCCGCGATGCTTTAATCACATTTTCAATTCAAATCTGCTGCTATTTGATCCGCCGGGGGTTGGCGGCGGGGAGGGGGGAGTATTTTTAGCTGTGCTTAAAGCCGCCGTGGCTGCTGACGGAGAGCGGGCAGGTTGCTGTGGCCGGGCAGAGTTGGACGGGATCCCCCCCCCTCCCTCCCCGCTGCCACCTCCTCCTTCTCCTCCTCTTTGCACATCCGAGGGCGGCAGCGGGGCTGGCTCCCCCCTCCCGGAGGTCGCCTTTGTTTTCCCGGAGTCGCTCTCCCGAGCAGCCGGGGGGGATCGGGAGGGGGCCGGGGCCGGGCTGGACCAGACCGGCCACCCCTTCTCCTGCTCGCCCCTCGGCGGACTTGGTTCGGTTCCCCCCCCACCCCCCGGGACCCCCCATGGCACCGCCGCGATGTTCGTGTCCCGGCTCCTGGATTTCCAGAAGACGCGCTACGCCAGGTAAAGCCGTCGGTGCGGCGGTCCCCGACCCCCGGGTGCTTGCGGAGCCCCAGGGCAGCCCCAGCCCCCTTGCCCGAGCTCGGTTCCAGCGGGGATAGAGCCCAAAAGGACCTTCAAAAGCTGCTGAGTGCCCCAAAGCACAGGGCAGGTGCGGGATGCTCTTTTGGGAGAAGGGTACCTGCTGTTCTGCATCCCTAAGGGATTCTGAGCATCCTTGAGAGCTGTCGCTGCCTTTTGCTGGGTCTAACTTCACTGTTGCTCTCCCGCTGCTGGGGGACCAGGACCCTGGGGACAGACCCTCTATGGAAGGACCAGGGATGCCCAGGGTCCTGCATCACCCGAGAAGCCCCCTCGGGGGCTCCAATGCAACGCACCGGTGGTAGATCCTTCTCCCTGCTCCATGAAATACCTGGTGAGGTTTTCCAGCAGCAGGGACTGGTCTGAAAAGCCCAGGAGCGCTGAGAAACCTCATGGCATTACCTGTGTAGGGGGAAACCTGAGGACTGCTGTGCACGGGTCAGAGGGCACTCGGCCATGCACGCTGCTGGGGGCTCAGATGTGGCCTTTAGGAGGGAGCTGGTGGGTGATGTAGGGACATCAGTCACCCACAGACCTCCAGCACAACGGGTGGCCAGGGATGAGCTGGATCGCGCAGCGCTGCGTGCTGCACAGCCAGATGGGGCTCAGCATGGTGCTGGGGGTGCTCAGGTTTGCACTGAGGACATGCTTTGCTCCCAGCTCCCTGTGACTGCGTTGGGGATGTTTTCATGGCTGCAGAGGGTCCCACAGGCTCATGCAGCTCCTGGGGACGCTGAGCTCAGGTGCTGCCATCATCAGAACCCCAGAGGTCCTGTTAGAGGCAGATACCAGAGGAAAACTTGAATGGAAAGAAGCAGTGATGGTGTTTCTTGCTTGCTCCAGGCAGGAGCATCTCTGAAGGATGCTGGGCTGGGTAAGAGCAGGAGACCTCCCTTCCACCCCCTAAGCCACCAGCTCCTCTCCTTCCAGGCATCCCATAGGGATAATCCATGCTTGCACCTCCAAAAACTGTGCTCAAACCCCATTTTGATCCTATAGCTGCTTCCTAACCACTTTTGCTGTAAGGAGATGCAGGAGGTACCCTCTGCACATCACCCGGTTGTGAAAACAGAGAGTTCAAACCTTTTACTCCCTTGCTGGCATGTGGAGGACAGGACCATGGGAAGATGGAGCCAAGCTAAAGGCTGTACTCCTCCAAAGCATGAGGACAACCATGCCTTTGCCCATAGCAGTAGTGCAGAGGTTCTTTGGGAGTTAGCAGAGAAGGGGCTGCTTCCCTACCTCAGTCCCCAAGCAGAACCCATCTGCAACCTGTTGCTGGATTTGTCCAGAATCAAAGCTTGTTGTGGTCCTTTCTGGAGATGACTTCTTAAATGGGGATGAGGTGTGACAGAGAGCCCACATGCAGGGTAGGGGCTGTGGGACACAGGAAGGACTGGGTCCACAGAGCATCCTCCATCTCCCACAAGGTACCAGGGCTGGATGGGCAGCAGGAGGAGATGGGGGCTTCCTTGGATTTCACCCCAAGGGAGTGAGCAACACCCGATGCTAACCCAGAGCTTCCTCCATCACCACAGAGATCCTCTTAGCCTAGTGCTTAAAAATAACAGTTGGCTAATCCCTGTTCCCCCCTCACTCCACACACACCAGATGGGGATTGGGGTGAGCAGGAGCCACAGGGCTCACAGCAGCACAATCCCTTCAAGGCAATCACAAGCATCTTGGAGAAGCTTTTGCTTGTGGCCTTCCTTAAGGAAAAATAAAGACAGAAAGTTTTCATTGTGGTGGAAAAGTCTGGAACAGCTTCATTTTTAGCACAGTTTTATCCAATTTTAAGTGAGGAGCAAGAAAGGAAACTTGGACATCAAGATACCTGCCAAAAGGAATAAATAAAACACAGTGTGGTTGATGGAAAACCTGTTGTGTGCAAGCTGCAGCGAGGGCACCGGGCTTTGAACAAAGGGATGAAAGGCAGGAATCAATGTGAGAGCATTCAGGAGGAGAGAGGATGTGAGAGCCAGGAGAAAACTCAGGGCTGGAGCAGCACTGAGGAGTCCCCAGATCCTTCCCAGCTGGGCTTCAGAGAGGATTGTGGCTGTGATAAAGGGGCTGTCACCGTGGTGGGAACAGGGGATGCATGGCAATGCCGCTCGAGCAGGTCGTGGTTATAAACCAGGCCCTGTGGTTTCTGCTCCGCTGTGGGGTGCAGGAGACTCCTCCATTATCTGCCACCATGGGGAAAGGGAGCTGAAAAGCACAGTTGCTGCAAGGCTTCCCCTGTCGCTCACAGCCTGCGCCGTGGCAATGATACCCATCTCCTGCCGACAGGCCAAATTGAGCCGTGACGCCAGCAGCAGCATGCAGGGACAGGGTGCAAGCAGATGCGATTCCTCCTGCTTACCCAACCACCAGGCTGTCATTCCCCCACTCTCCCTCCACCCTTTCCTCTCTTCCTCCCAGCTCACCAGCGTGGTGCTGCCTTCCCCCCCCCAGAGCAGCAGATCGGTGCAAGTGGCATCTTCATCACTTAAACTCATCGGCCAGGTTACACTGAGCCGGTAACCGATCCCTCCCTCCACTCACCACCAGCTTTGACCCCACTTTGGTCCACTTTTTCCACTGAGATGGACCAGTGCCTCCTCCCTGTGTAGCTTCTGTGGGGTTGCATCTCAGCCCAAATCCCCCTTCAGGGACACAGAATGCTTCCCAGAGTTAGGCCATCCAAAGCCATAATTGAAAGGAAACATGATTAAGTGGGATGCTGCTGTGTCTGGCCAGCTTCAGCAGCTCTGGAGCTGCAGGCTGTGCAGGGCACTGAATCATCCTAATAAACTGATAGCAGTTCACGATTGGATCTGTTAATGTAAAAGGCTCTACATCTTGTTGCGTCTGCTTGTCTCACCCTGTGCAGAGTAACACAGGGAAGAACAGCCAGGAAAATCCACAACCATTTCTCAGCACAGAAGCAGGAGGTTAGGGGAAGAAGGGGCCTCAATAGGTGCATGGTCCAGGCTTGTCTTCACCTGCCTGGTGTCTGCAATGTAGATACCGCTACCTCCTCACCAGCACAAGGGGATGGAGATCTGGACTCCACACTTGCTCACAAGCAAATCATGGAATGGTTTGGGTTGGAAAGGATCTTAAAATCATCCAGTTCCAACCCCCCTGCCTCCGAGTCTGGAGAAATACAGCTGGGAAAACCTTCCTTCTTGCTCCCTGCACCTGCAGTTACTGAGCAAGGAGATGCTTACTGACTCCTCCTCCAGCATCTCTGGGCAAGAGAGGAAGAGAACCACCAGTAGGAATAGGAGAGAGAGAAAACACTGGGGTGCTCAGCCCCCAAACAGGATGAAAACAACGCCAGGCTGCCAGCCTGAACACAGCTATTGCATTGGGAAGATCTGGTCCCCGCGTGCAATGAAAGCGCAAGCAGCCCTCGCCTGCTCCCACACATGTCGAGATGCTTTCCAAGAGCTCTGCTTCCCCCACAGCCAGCGTGGGATGGAGCAGCGAGAAGGGAAATGCTTTCAGTGTAGGTATTGCAGCTCAGAGATGCTCAAGAGGCAGGGGCTCCTCACCATGCGAGCACCAGCCCCAATCCCACCATCCCCACTGAGATCTGCCAGCTTGCCCCAGCTGAACAGATCCCCTTGCTGCAAAAGGCACTTGCTCCAAGAGATGGGGAGACCCCCAGAATCCCCAGCATCATCCAGTGTCACCGGCCAATTCCATACTGGTTGCTCTGTTGCATCAGGCTGACTCAGATACCCTCTTGAGATGGCACTGGTAGGATTCATTTTATGTGTGGTTTACATGCCCAGGGTGCAGTTATTGGATCCAGGTCTTTAGAAGGCAACAAGTACTCAAAACCCCATTTGCAATGGGATAGTCCCTCAAAATGCCCCATTCCCTCCTTTTAGAGGGCCAGCAGGACAATCACTGCACTGGAGTGGGCAAGCCAAGCCCTGTGCCTTGCCCTTGTGGGGGAAGGAAGGTCTCTTGGGTGCCTGGGAAACACATGCCCCATGGTTTCTTCCCTCCTTCAGCTGGTGTTGGATATCAGCCTGATGTGATTCTTTGGCACTGCTTACTATGGCCAGCTTCATGGGGTAGCAGCCAACGCTATGCATGGGAAATTCAAGCCACTTCCCAGCATGGCAGGTCACTGAATACAAGAGACAGGGATCTCCCAGGACTGCTCCCAGGCTTGCCTTCCTCTACCCTCCTCCCTTCCCACACTGCTCCACAGCAAGACAAAGCAATGCAAACCGACTACAACTGCTACAGGAAGGAAGGGGAAAGAACATGGCTTATTTCAGTTCATTGCTCTTACGAGGTGCTTGGCTGCAAAAGGAGATTGGTTGAGTACCCAGAGAGATGCTGCAAGGGGATGAATGCTCAGAACAGGGGCTGAGCAAGGCAGAGACGTGACCAAACACCAGAGCTCTCCCTTTGGGGTTGTCCAGATGTAATTGAACCTCAATGCTTTTATGCAGTGAAGATCCAGAGTCTGATGAGCTCTATGTGATCCACTGGCAACCTCTCATAACGTGATAACACAAGCATCATATTCATAGATGTTTACTTCAGATGCCTATTAGTTGAGCCAAGCGGTGCTGACCTTTGGAAGAGTTCAGATCCAAGTCTGTTCCAGTTTAGAGCCCAGGCTTGCTGCTGGGGAAGAGGGATTTTAAGCAGAGAGAGATGGGCAGGTCAGGGGCAAGGAGCACACGCTGGTACTGCAGCATTAGACAACAACCTGCACTCTGTCGCAAGTACTAATGGAAATGCTCATATCTGCTTGCTTGGCTGGTGAAATTCATTGTTCTCCTTCTGTGCCTTTGTGGTCCAGAGGCATTTACTGAGCAAAACAGCTATCATTTGTACATGAGCATCCTCCAGGAATCCCAAATAAGAGCCTGCCTCAGGCTATGGGGAAACTTTATGGACGTGAGAAACGATGCCCTGCCCATGTCATTTCAGTCACAGAGACAGGCAGGGTCAGAGGCTGGGGAGGCTCCAGAGCTCAAACTCTTCACTCTCTCTTACCCCTCCTTGGGCTGTTGCGGAGTTTAAGCAGGCAGAACCAGCTCAGGATTTGTTCCACTAACTTCTGTGCTCAGGGCAATGCAGGCAAGGCAGCAAGGAACAACTTCCCAAACAAGCAAATAGCGAATAACAGAGAATCCTCAGTTCTGGAATCAGCCCTCCTCACATTCACAAGGCACCTGGGACATGAGAGTCATTGTGACTAATCAGCTATTGTTGTCTCACGAGTACCAAGTGAAACAAGAAGTCCCAGCTCAGAAAGTAATTTGGGAAACGCTCACCAATCCCATCTGTTGTGAATAAACAGCTCTGCTGCAGCTTCAGGGTCACGATTTGTCTTGGAATAGCTAGAGATACCATCTACATAAAGAGCAGAAAGCCTGCTGGAGAGAAAGAGAAACATCCCTGCACAGAGGATGAGAACACAGTTACAACCATTCTGGGAATTACCTGCTGAGTTTCCACTTGCCAGCCAAGCCCTATAGATATATAGGGGCTCTCACAGGTGCAGAAATGGTCTATGCCTCCCATGTTTGTCTCTGCTAGGATGAGGAGCAAGGAACAGGAATTGGATATAGCCTTAGGGTGTTCAGGGAAATAGCAGCACATTGTCTTCCTGCCAGTCTCAGGCCCTCATATACCCACTCCTGCAGCAGCAGGATGTGCCAGGGGAGCGCATTCCCTGCCCCTTCATCTGTGCCTGCAGTTCAGAGCCAGATACAGCACAGACAGGGCTGAGCACATGGTCCCTGTCTGGGAGCATCTCTAAGCTGGCAAGCAGACATCTTCATCCTTTCCCATGGCACACAGGCTATGCATTGGCAGGGGATGGTCTGCAGCCAGCCCAGGGTGTTACCACATGTCAGAGTGCTGGGAACAAGCAAAACTGGGATGAAGGTAATCAAAGGTGATGAATGATGACTCAATCTGCAGCCCGTTTCTGGAAGCAAGGCTCACACTGAGGGCATCCACCTGGGCAGGTTACTCCAGGAATCTGGTGATCTGCTTCTTTACCCCTAAGAAAGGCT